AGCCGCGCTCCGTGTCCGCGGTCCCGCCCTGCGAGCCGCCGGCGCCGAGCCACGGGCCCTGGCCCTCGGCAGAGACCCTGCTAGAGCCCATCGTGCTGCCCGCGGCCGGAGGCAGGCCCAGGACTCCGCACAGCATCACCGTCACCCCCCCGGCCACGCCGCAGCCCAAACGCCGGCACCGCCTGAAGCCGCCGCGGACGCCGCCGCCCCCCTGCCGCAAGGTGTTCCAGCTGCTGCCCAACTTCCCGACCCTCACCAGGAGCAAGTCCCACGAGTCTCAGCTGGGCAACAGGATAGACGAAGTTCCTCCAATAAAGTAAGTTCCCTCCCAGACTGGAGCTGGGGCTCTCCCCAGTAAGGGGAGAATATTGACAATGCAGCAAGCGCAGGAGCCTGTGCAAAGCCAGAGGTGTCTGCAAGCCCAACAGCACGTGCTGCAGGCAGCAGCTCCTGCTCTGGCAAAGTGTGTACCTGTCACAGGAATATCAGTGCCTAAAAAATACCTATCTTTTCTTCTTTCTAGGTTCGGTAAGAGATTCTCACAGGGGTGTCTGCAGTGCCTTGCTGAGAGAAGGACCTGTGCTTGTCAGCTCCCTGTTGGCCGTCCCTGGGCAGCCTCTGGAGGTTCTCCACAGGCCCTGCTATACCAGAGCTTCCCTTCACTGAGCAGGAGCTTGGCCTGCCACAGAACCGCAGAGTTTTACTTGGTTACACCTGGTATTATCTAAGATGACACAAGCAAGTCAAAGGAATACTGATGTTTCAAGGGTTAAAGCCAGGGGGTGCTTATCTGTGACCTCAGACAGCTGGCACTGATGCCTCTTCCTACAGGAATTTCACATCTAACCATTTAGTGGCTTTAAATATGCATTGCCCAGTGTCTCTGTAATGAAGTTAAGACAGTTGTGTGCAGCTTTCTGAGGAAGCTGCAGCATGTGCTGGAATGTGGGGTGTTCCCTTTGTGCTGAGGAGTCTGTTCATGTGGGAGATGGCTGGCAGGAGCAGGGCTGGGTTTCTCCTGGCCATTGGGAGTTTTAACCATCCTGAGGTGTGTCCCAGACACAACCTGTAACCTTGGAAACTGATGGAGAGAGATTGGAGCAGTTTGGAAAGTGTCCAAAAGTATTTAAGTATTAAAAAAAGTGTGAAAGTCCAAATAAGGATATTATAGCACTGCACATATAGCTAATGCCCTTTTAAACAAAAATCTCAGGAGTTACTTTCAGAAATAGAAAGATTGCAAAATGAAAATGCCAGCAGAAATCCAAGCATTTCCCTGAGGAGAGTGAGATAATTGGTGCAATGAATGAAAAAGGCATTAGAATAAATTCAAGCAGAAATTAAGGATTTTGGTGCTTCTCTTCATAAAGACCTATTGGCTGGGTTGAAGTCTCTGCTGTGGGCTCTGGTGAGTCCCAGACAATCCCAGACTGGTTGATATTCATTTGAACAATTCTTTGAGGATTTAACCATCTGACCCAATGTTAATAGAAATCTTTACTGCTGTGCTGGGATTGTTTGGATGGCTACACTAGACCAGCAACATTCCTTGGAAAAGCACCTAGCCATTCCAGCCTTTTCCAAGAGGCTGAGGATCACAGATGCCTTTAGGAGCTCCCTGGACTAATGATAAAAGAGGCTGTGGTGCCATCTATGGTCAAGTGAGGAGACTGGCTCTGAGCCAGCCCTGCTGCTGGGCTGACACTTGCACATTGGGGTTTGCCTCAGATGTACAGTATTTCTATGGGTTTAGTTCAGGAAATATGCCAGAACTCTGAGTATTGGAGAGGTTTCAAGAAGTTATGTGCTCTAACCACTGGCATGCTGGATTGGCATTTGGAAGTCTAGATCTCCCTTTCTGCACTTAGCAGCTAGTTAAGTGAGCTCACATGTATGTTTTTGTTTTTCAGGGTCATGCTGGTCCCGTCTAGAAAATTGAGATAATTTTCAATGAAGTAGAATATTCTGAAATCTAGAAAATTGAGATAATTTTCAGTGAAGTAGAATATTCTGGAATCTACTGACACTGCAGGAAAACTGGGTGATGGTTGTTGTGGTAAACCAATTGGGAGTAAACCAATTAGGAGTAAAGTCTGACTTTCCACTTTAAGAACGGCTTAGACCTGATCAGATGGACATTTGTAATCCCTAAATGTAAAACATCATGATTTATGCAATCATATAGAAACAAACACAAGGGGGCAAACCAGTCAGAGCTGTGCTCCTGTGACACCTCATGGCTGGGGGTGCTGACCTGGGGCAGTGACTCTCGCTTTCTGTGCAGGGTGGTGAGCACATGTGAGCAATGCTTCCCTAAACCCTCCTCTTGTTCTCCATCAGAGCTCTCCCAGGGATCCCCCCAGATGGTACGAAGAGACTTTGGCCTGGCTGTGACTCACAGGTGAGCAGCCCAGGGACAGAGCCCAGCAGCCCAGGCAGGGCCGAGGTGGCACAGGACTCTGAGATGGGTTTGGAGTTGGGTCTGGTTTCTCAGTTGTCAAGTTCAGCTACCTATGAATGTTCATTTGCCCTTGAGCACCAGCTAACATCAGTTTTCCCTCTCTTGCCTCCATTAGGTTCTCGACAAAGTCCTGGTTATCTCAGATTTGCCAAGTGTGCCAGAAAAGCATGATGTTCGGGGTGAAGTGTAAGTACTGCAGGTGAGCACATGGGGATTGTGTCCTTCAGAACAGCCTGGAATTGGACTCACCACAGCCTGCAGTAACTCATGTCTCTTGATGTGACGCACTTTAAGCAGTGCCATTGTTTTTCCAGTCCTTCTGACCTGGCAGAGGGATGCTCTGGCACAACTCACACTTGAGGTTGTCAGCCTGACACATGAATGAGCCAAATTTGTTTCCCTGCCACAAGTTTTCTACCTCATCCTGGGCAAATCTTGTAGTGGGAGCTGGATCCCTAAATAACAGCCAGGATATTAATTTTTGCTTCTCTCTTAGGTTTGTTAGTCCAGAGCACTGAGATTTTACTATTTCACTTTTGCTGGCTGAGAGTCAGTGAAAGTAACTCTATTAAAAATAAATCAGATGCTAAGATACATGTGTGGCTTTCATTAGCCTAATGACACAATGGGATTCTCCATACGAATGCTTGCTGCTCTGGGGCTGAGCATTCCAGAACTCCCTCTGAGATTAGCATAAGAATTACAAATTAAGGATAGGCTTCCTCTTTTTGGGAAAGAACAAATTGCTATTTAACATGTAATGGTTATCTTTCAGATTAAAATGTCACAACAAATGTACTAAAGAGGCACCTGCTTGTAGAATATCCTTCCTTCCCAGTAAGTAATTTACTACAAATTTTTGGCATTACAATGCAATTGATGGTATGGAAAGAATAAAAAGTCTCATTAAAGCTGTTTTTCTCCCTTCTCCCACCTGTTTTCCAGTAACAAAAATAAGAAGAACAGAGTCTGTCCCATCTGATATCAATAATCCAGTAGACAGACCCACAGAACCCCAGTTTGGAACTCTCCCCAAAGCACTAACTAAAAAGGTAGGAGGTGGCTGGGGAGCTGCAGTAGGGAGAGGCTGGATCTCACTGGTTGGAGCCAAAACAGCACCTTTAGCTTTCACTTTGCAAGACTTAGATATGTGACCTTTTCTCCCTGTTAAACAGGGGCTGTGCAGAGCTCCAGGTGAAACGATTGAGCATGGGAACAACTTTCCTCTTGTCCGGTAGACACTGAGGGGAACTCCTCCTTTCTCTTTATTGTTTTCTCACAAGTGTCTTTCCCTGCTTTGCAGGAGCATCCACCAGCAATAAACCACCTGGACTCCAGCAGTAATCCTTCTTCTACAACTTCATCCACTCCATCTTCTCCAGCACCTTTCCAGTCTTCCAACCCTCCCAGTGCGACGCCGCCCCCGAACCCATCCCCCATGGGCCAGAGGGATGGGCGGTTTAACTTCCCAGGTAAACTCTCTGGCAGGAGACTCTGCAGACCAGGAATTCATAGGGAGTTGTAGGTTTCTGAATATGTGGTTGTGCCTTAAACAAGATGTCTGATAAAATGAAAACATCTTTCTTGCAAGTTTTTAAAGGGTATCAGCAAGATACCTTTGCAGGAAACAGATTATTGAGGAATGTTTCTCCTTTTCCTTTTTGGAAAAGGACTGAAGAAAAAGCTATTTTTTCTCCTCCTTTCCCCTTTGTGTTGTACAATGCATGCTGCCTGCAACATGTGCTCACCAGGGGCTTTCAGTCAGGAGGGAGGTGCTTGCTGGAGCAGGCTGTAAAAATGAGAACTGGAATGAATTACTTTACCAGACCCTTCCGAAATATAACCCACAATCAATGCCCATTTTTAAACCACTGTCAAGCATGACCGGTGGAGAGGAGCTTACCCTTCATGCCCTGTGGATTGAGAACCCCAGTGTGCAGCTTTAACCAGAGCTGAGAGGGGCAAGAATCTCTGACAAGGGCAAAGATCTAAACAGTGAGAATAAATGTAATTCCTCCAACCTGAAGTCACATGGTGCTCAGTAGCTGCTACATCTGGCCTTCAACACTGCTGAATTTTGCATCAGTTTCTGACCTGTGAACTCACATTGCTGTTTGAGCCTGGTAAAATGGACCAGAGGCAGTTCAGTGTAAGGATTCCACTTCAGCTACTTTGCATTGGGGCAAAGTGCTCAGATTCACTGAAAAAATAAAGCAGGCGGATGGTTCATCATCTTCAGCCTCTGTGGGGACACCTCTGTGAAGCTGAGACATGAGAGCACATCACATCACACCTCATGTGGGCCTGCCTTGCACATTCCTGGGCTCTCCCTTTGCTCCTGCCCCTGGGGATCCAAGTGTGGTGTTTACCTACCAGGCTGTTTGAGAGGTAGCACAGCTTGTGTTTGATCCCTGTCATCTGTCAGGGTCTTCCCAAAATGCATGTGCTGAAATTCCCCCCAGCAGGCTGATAATCCACTAATCTGTTCCCAGCAGTGACCTGGGACTAATTCATTGAATGCACATGAGGCAGTCACTGATGATCCTCTAACCTGTTTGTGTTGTTTTGTTTTTTTCTCCTGGTATATTTTTTTTTATGTTCCTTTTTTACAAAACCCCAATTAATTAAAAAGCTGCCTACTACCTTCAGCATAGACAACAGTTTATCTTCCCAGGTGAGTTGATTGTTTTAATTCTACTAACCAACTTCTACTGCCAAAATAGAACTTGTTTGTAAACCTCTGCATGCTGCCAAGAACAATCATTCTGCTTTAAAAAACCTGTCGAAAACAATCCAGACTTTCTCTTATCTCAGTGTGTATGCAGGCCTCTCTCCCCTAATCTGAGGTAGTGATATGATTTATGTATCAAGATGGAACTTTGAATATTTAGCTCTAGAACATTTGTTTCTTGCTGTGGGATTCTATCCACATCCATGTTCTTCCTTTCTAAAGACTCACTTTTATGGCTCTGTGCCTGGCCAAAAGGACTTTGCAGATAGGTAGGGGAAATGAAAGAGGACTGGGCTCAGCCTCATGTAAGCATAGGAGAGATGAGCATAGTTTTAAAACAGTAAAAGTATAAAATCACTTTGTCTGTGGTTGAGTTTGTAATTCCTATTTGCTATTGCAGTGTTGAAACTTGCAGTCCATAGGAGATTAAAGTGTAAAAGATGTATCATAGTTGTTTCTACTTCCCCAGAAATTCCCGGTCCTGCACAAACAGCACAGCTTCCAGAAACTGCTGCAGACACTAAGTAAGTAGAGTTTTAAATCCTTTAATTTGCACAGAATTTACCTGGTGATCCTCAGGTCAGCCAGAAGTGCTGTGTTATGACCAAAAGCGGATTTAACACCTGAGAATTCCCAGGGTAACTTTAATCAATGAGGGCAATGCTGGTATTCCCAGTTGTATAAAGCTGAATATGACACTTAACTCTAAATGGCACACTAAGGAGTCCAAGCCTTTCATATCTAGTCCTGGTTGTTTGAAGGTCAGATGAAACAGAAGTTGAAGTTTTGTAACTCAAAGGGCAAGGCACGCAGAGCTGCAAGCAAACAGCTCTTTGAGGATCCCAAGTACAGGGCATGGAAAAGCTTCCAGCCTGCATTGCCAGCTGCTTCACTGCAGGTGTTTCAGGGGCAGGAATGGGAGTATCTATTCCTGGAACACAGTGTAATAACAGAGCCACACCACTGCCAAATCAATTCCTTAATTATCAAGAATCACTTCTAAGTCTTTGTCCTTTATTTGCCAAAGTGAGCTTAGAGTCCTTCTCTTTTACATGGAGGAGGACTTTTATTTTTCTCTGACCTGTAACTGTCAGGACTGGTCCTGTATTGGCTTCTTCTGCTCCCCTAATGGAGCACAGCCCCCCATTCCCCAGTGACCTCCAACGTTGTTTTCCCTGTTTTTGTTGCAGTGCTGCCCAGCAGCTGGGCACGGGCGGAGGCACACGGGACGCACAGGTGGGTTTGCTGGTTTGCCCTGGAGGTCTCTGTAGCAGCCTGTGCTGCTGGGCTGCTCTTCCCCCCAGGAGGGACTCTGAGCACAGCTTTCCCTTCCCTTGTTGTGGACAGGTGGAGGAACCAGAGGCGAGTAAGTCGGAGCCCGAGGATGACGAGGATGAGGTGGAAGATTTGCCCCACCGGCGGCCGCACCTGCAGGGGATGATCTACCGCAAACCCAGCCAGACCAGCGTGTACCTACAGGAGTGGGACATCCCCTTTGAGCAGATCCAGCTGGGGGACCCCATTGGCCAGGGCCGCTGGGGCAAGGTCTACAAGGGCAAGTGGCACGGGGAGGTGGCCATCAGGCTGCTGGAGATTGATGGCAACAACCAGGATCATCTCAAGCTCTTCAAGAAGGAGGTGATGAACTACAGGCAGACCCGGCATGAGAACGTGGTGCTGTTCATGGGAGCCTGCATGAACCCCCCTCACTTAGCAATCATTACCAGGTAAGGAGAGAGATCTTTCTATCAGTTCTACTAGATTTGTGCTGTAGAGCTAGCTAATACTGTTCTCCTATGTAAACATTTTCTGTAGCTTCTGCAAAGGAAGGACGCTGCACTCCTTTGTGAGGGACCCCAAGATCTCCCTGGACATCAACAAAACCAGGCAGATAGCACAGGAGATAATTAAGGTAAGGGCTCATTATGCCAAGGGAACCACTGGGTGGGGCCTCAGCCATAGCTCAGAGCTGCACACGGGACTGGGAGCTGCTCCCTCAGCCTTTCGCCACACCTTCCTGCACAAGTCCCACAGGGGCTCTCCCCTAGTTACAACTAATCCTTGACACTGGAGTTAGGAGAGGAAATGTGTTAGAAAGTAGACCGTGCTTGGAAATTATAAAAACCCAAAAACATTTCCATCTCTGCTGTGTTTCCCAGGGCATGGGGTACCTCCACGCAAAGGGGATTGTACATAAGGATCTGAAGTCAAAAAATGTCTTCTATGACAATGGGAAAGTTGTGATCACCGACTTTGGATTATTTGGAATTTCGGGTGTGGTTCAGGAAGGAAGGTAAGTGGAGGTTTCAGTGCTTGAATGACCTCTAGAATGACAAATGGTCAAATAGGGAAACGCTTCCTGCAGTGCATGGGAAGTGTCCATTCGTTTAGTACACACTCAGTTCGCATTGTGCCTGTTTGCACTGTTTTCCTTTCGAGCAGAGTTCTTCCTACAGTTGCAGTAGCACAGCTAGAGAGCTTGGATTAAGACTCAGAGCCCAGAACAAACAAGCCCAGGAAGGAGCTGTGAGAATCAAGCTGACATGTGCCTGTTTGTTAACATGGCAAGAAAATGAAAAACATTATGAAATGAAATTATGAAATGAAAACATTAGCAAATACATTGGAGTAAATAAAGCTGAAGCATCAGGTGCAGCACAGATACGGCCTCCACACCAATGTTTTCATCCTGCTTCTTTCTTTTGGATTCAGGAGGGAGAATGAACTGAAGCTGCCTCATGACTGGCTGTGCTACCTGGCTCCCGAGATTGTCCGTGAGATGGCCCCAGGGAAAGATGAAGACAAGCTGCCTTTCTCCAAAGCTGCAGATATCTATGCCTTTGGGTAAGAAAGGAACACCCAGGAGTACCATGAGGGCTTGCTAACTGAGACTGGCTACTGACCTGAGCCTTCCAGTCAGGGCTCCCTTTCTCTCAGACTCAGGATTTCAGCAGGGACACATTTTCCTCACCTATTCCAAAAGTCGTGGGTGGAAGGGGCTTGCTGCACAGCCTTAGGCACCTCCCAGAGCTCTGCTGAAGCAGTTGCAACAGTGCCAGCACTGGGTATTTTCCCTCTCAGGAGCAGGCAGAAGCCTGACATGTCTGTTGGCATTGCAGGACCGTGTGGTACGAGCTCCAGGCACGGGAATGGCCCTTCAAGACCCAGCCTGCAGAGGCTCTCATCTGGCAGATCGGCAGTGGTGAGGGAGTGAGACAAGTCCTTGCTACTGTCAGCCTGGGCAAAGAAGTCAATGTAAGTACCTCAGCTGCAGGAGTCCCTCATACAGCTGTTTGTCAGGGAGAGAGGGGGCTGCTTCAAGAGATTTATTATAACTCAAAAGAGAAAGGGCAGGAAAGAGGACAGATGAGAGTGGAAGATCAGGTTAAGCCTGTGCCCATAACTGTGGTGCAGAAAAGAACATCCACAGCACGGGACACTCGAATTCTGACAGTGTTCAGGCCCTCTGTGAGCAGTATCTGCCTGGGCTCACACACATCCCAGTGCTCAGACAGTTTTCTGGTCTGCACAGTTGATCCATGAGCTGAGATAATGAGCCACCACTGTCCTCTGCAGGAAATCCTCTCAGCCTGCTGGGCCTTTGACCTCAGCGAGAGGCCCAGCTTCACTGTCCTCATGGAAATGCTTGAAAAACTGCCAAAACTGAACCGCCGGCTCTCCCACCCAGGGCACTTCTGGAAGTCTGCTGAGTGAGTACCTGCTGCTGGTCACAGCACTGATGCCAAGCAATTTGCTAACTGATAGTGTCTGAGCTTTATTTGCTTTCCTGGGGCTGTGAGACCTGACAGGGTGGGAGCACTGCTCCTCTGCTTCTTTAGTTCCTGGGAAATGATGTGACTAAGCCACGAGCCTCAGTTCATTTCCTACTTCAGCATATTCACCTCCCTCCAGCAGCTGACTGATCCCCCTGTTTGGTGTCAGAGAACATCCACAACAGCATTAGGAAGGGCCCAAAGTGATGGTAATGGCAGGTACTGCCTGAGGAAGGGAAGGACCCAAGCACAGGCCACTGTTTCCCTCTGATGTGGTTCAGACTGGATGGGTTTGAGGCCACAGACACATCTGTGTCCAGTGTCCTTTCACCATGTCCTTGGCTCAGTGTTTCTTTTCATCTTGTGAACTGCTCATATTTACTTTCTCTTTGTTCCGATGTTTAACCCACCCCTTCCCTTCCTATAATCCTTCACCCTCTTCCTGCAACACCTGATCAGAACCACCCAAACCCCTAAAACAGGAACTGTCATGGCAGTTTGGTCTCTGCTGGATGTTGGAGGCTTTGGAGTTTTGGTTGAAAACTTTGCCACTTCTCCTGTGCCATTTCCTCCCCATTTAAATGTACTGGATCCCTGACACACCAGTGATGTCCAACAGCTTTAAACTGCAGAAAGCTTCCCCCAGACCCTGGCCTCACCCTCACACAAAGAACATACACTGAGCAGTGGAGCTCCCTCCCACCTCACCCAGATCCTTTCACACACTGCACTAACCCCTGCCGCAGCCTGGTCAAAGCTTGTACAGTGTGTAGTTCTCAAGGGCTTGCTGTAAATAACTGAAAACTAACTCTCATGGTGTCTTTTTCCCTCCCCTCCCATATTTCTTTGTAGGTTGTAGCTACTGGTGCAATAACGGGCTCCACCTTGCATGCTTCCATGTGTCGTATCCTAACCGGCAACTTGGACAATCACCTTCCATTAAAAAAGCAAAAACAAACCACGAAATTAACCCATGGACATAATCAACACTTTATCTGAGTTCTCTCTGCCTTTTGCTTGGTGTGGGCTGTAGCTTCAATAACCACTCCTGTCTGCGAGATCTTCCCACCTAACACCGGCCTCCTCTGCCTCTGGAGCGCTCCAGCAGCTGTGGCTCCTCCTGGCAAGGGCGCAGGGACCTGCTCTGACTGACCAGGTGCACACCCCAGGCAGGGCCGGGTGTCCTGCCCACAGCTCAGGGCTGTCCCCAAACTGCTGCGCCTCATGCGAGTCCCGCGAGGCCCCCGAGCCCCTCTGGGGCGGTGGCCTTACTGCTGGAGCTCTGTGGCTGCAGGTGACAGGGACATGGGCACAGCGCTTGCAAAGCAGCAGGAGCTGAGGTCAGGCTCTCCCTCAGGCCCAGAGCCAGCACTGGAGCCAGGGTCACTTTTGTCAGGCCAGTTCTTGAGTGGAAAGAAGGATGGTCCTTGCTCACCTTGGAGCAGCTGCGGGTCCTTTGCCTGCTGAGAACCAGGCCAGGGCAGTGTCCAGAGCAGGCCCACGTGGGTCAGCAGGGACCAGCTCCAAGGCCGAGTAAAAGAGGAGGAAAGCGAAAGCACCTTCAGTTCCTCCCCGTGCAGATGCAGTGCTTGCAGTGTTAAAGTTTGCTTCTGTTTACATCCCTGATCAGGACTCAGTGTTGGGCCTTGGCAGTCACAGCTAGCACAGCAAACATGTGCCTTCTAGAAAAGGTCTTTTTTCACTGGTTTGGAGGGGAGAGGACAGGGACAGAGGACAACACACACCAAGGGGGTTTCTGCTGTCTGGGGACAAGCTCCCACATCCATTCCCTGAGCCTGCTCAGGAAAGCTCTGAGCTGAAAGTGCTTCTGGCTCTGCCAGCAGTGTGAGAGCAAGGAGAGAAACACCTTTATGTGTTTGTAGAGCCTGGGGAGGAGCAAATGGGTTTGGGTGTGTTCTGTTGGCGTTTCTTTACATATTCATGTACCTTGTCAAAGCTCCCCTTTCTTTCAGTTTTCCCTTCACTTCAAGGGAAGCAAGTGCCCACTGAAAACCAGTGTCAGGCTTCTATCCACAGTAGAGACCTGGGAAAACTTCCTGCTCCTTCCCCTTGGGCAAATCAGATTGTGCAGCTTCTTCCCACTGATGGGGTTTGCTTGAAAAACTTCATGTGTTTGCAGCTGAATTACTTGAACATCTCTTGGGTGATCTGGAGTGATACGAGAGCAGAACCGAACTCATTTTGGCTCCAGTGGCAGGGTGGTAGCTTTCTGAGATGAATCATCAGTAACTGTTTCCCCCTCCCTTCTCCTCTCCCTCCCCACTCTTCGCAGCATTAACAGTAGCAAAGTTGTCCTCCGTTTTGAAAGATTGGGCTTGGGAATCCTGGAACCGAGTAACCCAAAGCTCTAGCCCGGTGTCATTGTGCCCGTGCTGGCTGCCTGCTCCCACACAGCACCAGAAACCCTCCCTGGCTCCTCCACGCCGAGGCTGGTGCAGCCCCGCTGAAGACCATCAGCTCAGCCCCGTGTCCTGCCTGAGCACCAGCAGTTATTTAAACAATGTTTACATGATACTTTTGTGTGAACTATATTTTTTTAAACATAATAAACAGTGAATCGAGTTGAACTACAGCCATTCTCAAATACTGCTGAAAAAGAGAAGAGCTATTCCTGGTTCCTCCTTGTGTCCATGGTCAGTAGGAGCCACTCTCTGCCTTCAGAGCAGGGCCCCAGCAGCGGCACCGCAGTGATGTGGCTTCTGCGAGCTCTTTGCCTTCCAGAGGTCACTTCTCTCCTGCAGGTAGAGCCCAGCCTGCTGCACTGGGGCTTGCCCAGACCACTCATTGATTCAGCAGGGCTGCTCCAGCTCTGCACCACCCTGAATTCAGCTCCACCAGAACAGAGCTGCTGCAGGTAGTGTCTGGCTCCCAGGTAATGACTCAAGTGCTCTTCTCCACAGAACTCACGCTACAACCTGCTCCTTCTCATACAATCCCAGAATTAAGAATTGCTGGCCTTAAAAAATAAACTCATGACTTGTTGCAGCTTTGCACAGGGAACAAATTCTTCTTTTGAAGTTCAGGCACAATTCTGAGTGTGGGGAAAGGCAAGAGTGACAGGACAAGGGAAGAGCTGTCCCTAAATAATGCATTAACTGAGGCCTTGATACACAGAGCTTCAGAGCCCCTGCACACACACACAGAGTGTTCCCACTGCCTGCAACTGGCCGGCCACATTTCAGCTTGCAAGTTGTTTGAGAAACTTAGGACTAAAGCAGTTGCTTTGAGGAAGAAAATCTTGTAACCAAGAGGGCAATATCTGGGCCTGGAGGTTCTGCCTGACCACAGCTCAAACTTGTTTCAGAGGTTAGTTTTAAAGCTAAAACCCATCCCTTCCTCCAGTGCGGTGTGGAGGGGACAGCCAGTGACCACACTGAGGTGACAGGTGCATCATCCCCCTTGGAGATCAATTGCAGGCCCTGCTAGCAGAGGCTCCCCTTTCCCCACCATCATCCCCGAGGCTCAGGGGAGGAGCTCCCAGATCCTCTGTGAGCAGGCAAAGCACCAGCCCTCAGTTTGGCTGCCTGGTGCTAAGCAGCACAAAACATGAGTTCTGTTGGGCAGAGAGCCTCAGTCCTGTGTGCAAGTCAGTTGTAGCTTCTTAAAAGTGCTGATAAAGACTTTTTAAATGTGTCTCAGATCTAAAAGAGAAATGAGTTTGGCATGGCCAGGCGCTGCAGAGCTGTCCTGATCCCGTCCCCCTCAGGCTCTGCTGTTCTCACTAACGGTGTGTCAGCAGCCTGAAGCAGAAGCTGTTTTCCCCCAAGTGCTGCTTAATTAAGAGCAGCACAACACAAACCCAAAGCAGGGAAAAAAAGGTGCTGCCCCTCAGCTGGAGCCCTGCGTGAGCTTCCTGCCTTAGGGAGGGCAGGGCAGGAGCCGCTGCCGGCTGCAGACCGGCCTTGGCTCAGTCTATGTCGAGGGCAGCAGCGGCCTCGGGGTGCTCCTCGCACAGTTTTGGGGTGCATTAAGCAGGCCCTGAGAGCTGGGACAGGCAGCAGGTCCCGTGTGGGACCAGAGGCCCGGCTGTGCACAGGCCCTGGCTCCTTGCAGCCCCAGACCGTGCCCTTCTGTTCCTGCGGGGCAGGTCAGGCCCTGGCTGTGCAGCCCCGAGCACGGGGATGTGCCCACGGGCCTGCTCTGGTCCCGGCTCTTTCACAGCCTCCCCCTAACGGGAACATGGGGATCCAGCCTGACCTGGCTGCTGCTGGGACAGCCTCAAAGCTCCTCCTCTGCCCCAGTGCGGGCTCCTTTTAGCTCTGGTCAGCTCTGGGGCTCTGGGGCAGAGCTGTGGGGGCATCAAGCTGTCCCAGTCCCGCACACCAAGCGACAGCCCTGGCCCGTGTTTGTGTCACACGTCCTGGTGGAGCTGTCAATGTGACAATGCTGTGCAATGCTGCTACAGGAGCCACGTGTCAGTAGTGAATGTAAATGGTCGTAACATGGTGAACATGGACACGTTTTCTTTTCAAATGTGATGTAAACTTTGTACAGTATAAATTTTTTTTATATTTTCTATGAACTGAGTGTCTTCCAGAATTGCTATTAAATTAATTACAAATTGTTAGAATTAATATCAGTTTCTGTATTAGTTTATTCAACCAGGAAAAAAAAATGCACTCTATGCTACTGGAATTCTGGATATGTAGGAATCTTTTCAGTAAATAAATCTTTGGTGCAGATAAAGCAGGTGTTACTGAGTCCTGGTTTGACTTTCCTCTCCCACTGACTGGTAGCCACAGACCCCGAGCACAGCAGCTCCTCCACCCCCTCTGCCCCCTGCCCTTCCCCTGTGGGACACCAGGTGATCTCCCCCTGCACAAGTCCATTGCCATTGACAAAGTTTTCCCTCCTGGATCTGACGAGTCCCGTTATGAGGTGGGTAATGAAGCCACCATGGAGTTTTCTCGAAGCACTGAGCTGTTTAAGAAGCTGCTTCCCTCCCCAGTGGGGCACTTGGGGCCGTTCCGGGACTCCCAGCGAATTCTCCATCCTTTGCACAAGGTCCTGCCACCACCTCCCACCTGCAGAGTGGGTCAGAGCTCCACAGACAGACCCTGCTCTCCACTCTGGGAGTGCCATTATGGGGCGTTAATTAATCCCAGGAAGGTTTTGCTGCTGCCAGCAGCTTTGTGCTGGGAATAACGGCAGCTTTGTGCTGTCCTGCCGGGAACCAGCATCATAAAAGCAAAGTTTTACATCTCATCCATCTTATCTACATCTCACACGCAAACAATAAAAAAGTTAAGATAAGCTGAGCTTTGTTGTCTTTCATAAAGAATAAGAAATAACAAATATAATTCTCAATTATACTGGAAGGGCAGAAGTGTTTGATATAACAAACCAACCACACAAATTCCAGTCCCCAAAGCACAAAGGCTCTGCCCCAGCTGTGACTGGAGCAGTTTGATGTTCCCCTGCCCAGAGTTGTACCCCAGAACTTCCCTGGGCTGCCCGAGGCACCAACACTGGGGTCCCTCTGCCCTGGGAGAGCCGCAGCAAACACGAACAGGAGCAGGCAGCACACACATCCCACCGGAGACAAAGCACAAAGGGAGCACTTCCAGCCCCAGCCAGCTGCACCACAACACTCAGCAGCATCTAAACCCCCCCCACCAGACAGGGACATTTCACCAGCCCAGCTGGGTGCTCAACAGCAAAACATCCCAGAGCAGCCACAGAAATGTGGATTCACTCAGAGGAGGCACCAAATAACTCACAAAGCACAGCTCAGGCTACAAATTAACTGACTGGAACAGGATCTAGGAGAGCTGGATACACCATATCTGGCTTCATCCTCAGAGATCAGCCTGCTCCTCCCAGACAAAGCAGCAGCTCTAGCCCTGGCTCCCAGTGGGTTACTGGGGCAGGCAGAACCCCTCTGCACATGGCCAATACAACACAGTATTACACCAAGGAGAAGAAAAAGCCTTTCACCTACCTGTCCTCACTGTCTCCAAGGCCAAGAGCTCAGCAGCCTTGCACATCACCCCAGTACAAGCAGCAGCTACCAGGCCCTGCCCCACAGCCCTTTGCTGTCCCTTGTGAGCCCCAGGGGTTCCCTGTGAGCCTTGAGCATCCCTCATCCCCCCACCCCTGCCTGGCTCCAACAGCCCCCAGGTTTCCTGCATTTCCCCGATGCAGGGCCTGACCTTCTGTCACCTTCACGTTCCATTGCTTTTTTCTTCAGTTAATAATGTTATGAAAATCAGGCTCAAAGTATATTCCAATGTGAGACTGCTCCCCAAAGCTCAGGGATGCACCCGCTGCCAGCAGTGTGCCTGAGCTGCCAGCCCAGGACCCTCCCAGTTGCCCCAGTTCAGCCCAGCACTAAGCTTTACCAGCACCCAAAACCAGGTACAGAACCAGGCTAAGAGCAAGGTCTGTTTGCACCTCAGTGCTCAGGCACACAGCCTGTTCTGGATGTTGGATTCCCTTAAAGCCATATAAATTCGGCTTAAGTGTCAATGAAATAAGCCACTAATTGCTCAGAAAGTGTTAATCTGTAACTCCCAGTCCAGTCCCAACCCAGCCAGATGCACAAGCACCTCAGTAACCCAGCCAGTTCCAGTTCCTGTGGCTAAGGTTGTCCTGAAGCATGTGTAAAACACACTGTCCACACATGGCACTGCTGACTTTTGAGTCTCAACTCTGCCTTCATCAGATTCCAGCTCCTGGAGACACAGGATGATGGGAAAATATCACCTTAAGCTTTTTTAATATGCTCATATAGCCTTGGTAATTTCAGAGAAGGAACTAGTTCTGCTGTAACTGCAAGGCCTAGAAAGAGCCCAAGTCCCAACACAATGAGGGCAGTTTCGAGCCAGTCTCACTCCCTGGTGCAAACTCACACTTGCCTGGCAATAACAAAAAGGCAAAACTGATCATAGACAGACTGTAACTCCTGGAGATGTCCTCAGCTCAGGGAGGAGGGAGCACAAACCCACCCCTCAGGACAACCTGAGAGCTGGCTTAGTTACCTCTGCCTTTGCAGGCTGGAGCCAAGAGCAAGAAGAGGTTCACTGATCCACACACTTTGTCTCAGTATAAAGGCAGATTTTATTACAAACAAATCAAGTAAACCGGAGCATAGAATTCAAATGTACAAAGTGCTTTTGAATTTTTAGAACCTTCCTGCTACAAGCTCTGTAACAACAGCTGAGGTTCATGTACCTGAGTCCCACAAAGCAGAATTCACCACTGCTACCTGCTGAGCAGATACATCTGAGGTGGATGCAGCAGGTGTTGCCACTTGGGGACCAGTACATTATTATCCCATTTGCAAACATTGCTCCAGATCCAAGCACCTGGCCAGACAGCTCCCAGCAACATAACCATCCATTCACTTGCTTTCAAGTGAAGATAATATGCAAGTAAACCAATCTGATATAAATAAGGCCACAAAGATTAACAGTACATTTTAAAAAAAGATTTCAGCCCTAGTTAACTTAGTACAAAACTCTACATTTTCCTTGTATGTACAAAAACCACCAGATTTATACTAGCATAGATGGTATTAAAAAATAATTTGCACCTTCACTATTCAGATAATGTATTAAAAGCATGTCAGAATAAATAGCAACGGAAGTTAAATTTAATATTTTACTTAATTAAGACTGAGGTTTAAGAGTGAAATCCTACAATCCTATACACATTCATGATTGAACAAGTATAAGAAGGAGGATTTGACTCTTTGTTTTTTGAAAATAACAACAAATGTGCAAATGTTGTCTAAAACACAAGTGGATTTGGTATTCAGCTGCTGGGTTGCAAAGCTCTTTTGACTTCATGTGGGAACACAGCCCCAAATATATCTTCATGGTATCGCTTTTGGCTCTGCAAAAAGAAAGGACACCCAAGAGATGAATGAAATGCTGCCAGCTACTCCTTATCCATTTGTTCAGTAAATCAAAGGCCTTTTGCATTTGTAGCACTGGTTCTGTGACTGTGGACTTTTGTTACTGCCAGTGAAAAGGAGCTCCCTGAACCCCAGGGACAAACGCACCAGGGTGAGTTCTGATAACAAGAGGGTCTTAAAAAGCAGTAGTCCCAGGCACTGGGTCCTTAGTGATGGACCCATGAAATTCCTGAACTCACTTGTCCTCTCTGGATACAATAAAACCTCAAGCTCCCGATGTTCCCAACACCTCGCAAAGCAGATCCCCAGGATCCCCCCGTGGCGTGGCAGGGCAGGGCAGGGCAGGGCAGGGCAGGGCGGGGCAGGTCAGGGCAGGGCCGGGCCGGCCGAGGGCGCTGCCCAGCGCCGGGAGCCCCGCCGCCTGCCCCGGCCCCCCGGGCACAAAGCGCACTGCACATCCCGAGCTACCGGGAACACAGGTTTGGGGAGCAGTTCTCTGTCCGGCCTTGACAGGCAGGGGGAGTTTATTTAATGCTCATTGGGAAAGGAACAAAATCCTTTTGAAAGGGCGCTAAGTAGTTTCACGCCAAAGCGGCAGATTTGGGGAAGAATGTGGGGTTGACAAAGCCCTGCCGTTCCCAGAGCGGCCGGAGCTCTTCGGAAACCGCACCGGGAATTGAAGCACACAGAAAAGCAAGAGACCCCAAGTATCTTGGCTTCCTTCTCCTTCTCAGCTCCCGAGAGCAGAAGCAGAACCATTATTAAAAAAAAAAAAAAAAAAAAAAAAAAAAAAAAGAGGTCGAGGCTTAGCCGAAACGCAGCCACAACCAACAGCCCGCAGTTGACTTTCCAAAACGGGGGAAGCTTGCTCAGAGACTGGCATTGTGTTTTGCAGCCTAGGAAACCCTAAGAAGCTGGTACTTCCCCCCTCCTTTCTCTTTTCTCCCAACTGGTTTGTAAATATTAACAAGGTTGTGAGTATTCTCTCACACAGAGTGGATTTTTTATCCTTGGAAAACTTCTTGGCTTCCCCCACAGCCCCTCTCCCACTCCTCCCCTCTGCAAAGCTACACACCTGCTTGCAGCCACAAGGATTCAAAATCAATATTGTATTTGTCACTTTTCCATCTCCTTTTCCTCTCTCAACAGCCCTGCTTGCCACTGAGGCGAATTGTGGATTTATGGAGGAAAATTAGCATAAATTATTACCAAACCTGTAAACGTGTGTGGTCTTGCTTGTGGGAAAGGGGGCTATTGCAAACCTTCCATGCAGAAAGGTGGTCCATGATGGGCTCCATGCAAGGGCTGAATGGCTCTTGCATGAAATAGATTTCCATTGGGTTTGCACATTGATATAATTGACTTATGTGTATTTTATACAGTTTTCCCAACACTTCCTCTGAGCTCCTTATTTGAATTAGTCTTCAGCAAAACGTCTGTTTGTTTTGGTTTCCCACACAATGGATTTGGATTCACTTCACCTTCCCTAATGTTGGCTTTCAAAGCTGAAGGGAAATGCTATAATTGCATTTAAATCCTATATTGCCCAAGTCTATCATCTGTGGCTGTGCTTAGCACGAGGTGAAAGTTTAGGTATCAATTACTGGGTTGACTTTGCCTGCCCTACCCCTCCAATCACACATTCCTTTGCAATGGAAAAAAAAAAAAAAAAAAAAAAAAAAAAAAAAAAAAAAGAAAAACAAGAAAAAAAAAAGAAAAAGAAAAAGGAAAAAAAAAAACCACACCGGGCACCTCACAGCCATACCTCGTTTGCACTCGGAGCAGCAAATGACAACGGAAGTCTACTTTAACTTTATAGCTTGAGGGTTCCTTTTTGTGTCAGCGGTTGGTTTGGTTTGGTTTTTTTTTTCTTTCTTCGAAAAGAAAAGGTACCGGCAAAAAGAGGAAGAGAATTATTTGTCAGTTTGTGGATTTTCTGAGCTGTCTCTTAGACAGGCATCCCAGGAGTGAACTTGGGCCGAGAGACAAAACCCAGATTGGGGGTTATTAGAAGTTGGGGATGGGGGAACTGGGTATGTGGTGTGTGTGGGAGGGAAGTGCCCCTCACACACACATTTTTGGGGCTCTCAGTACAAAAACAGAAGCCTTCTATCTGGTGTTAGGGGATGCTGGGAGGAATCTCTCCTCATTTCAGAGCATTGTCTTTCTTACCCTCTAACAAATATCCATCATCTCATCATCTCTTACACCACCCCACCCCATCCCCCCAAAAAAAAATAATTTGGAGGCTGCCTTCCTGCCCTGCCCGGTTGGATGATGCATCTCGGAGCCGATGAACTGAGGAAGGCAACTCCCGGGCTCTGAACAGCACAAACACTCCCGGGCCCTTCTCTGCAAGGGGCACAGGGTGGCATGTGGCAGGTCTTCCCCCTCCTCAAAGGGCTCGTTAGCTCGGCAGCGCGGCCCCCTTGGCTTCTCGGATTCCTAGAAACACAATTATTTACTTATTATTCTCTAAACGACATCCTGCCCCGAGAGAGAGGGATTAGATGGGAGCGAGGGCCGGCGGGTTGGGATGGAGGGAGCACGGTTTGCACACACGAGCGATCTCGTGGCTAGGGTGGGAATGAAAGGCGTTTTGAGGGTCCGGCCAGGTTTGGGGGAGCCCTGCCTGGTGGGGACCGTCCCTCCGAGCAGGCTCCAAGGCTCTCGCAGGGCCCGGCTCTCAGCAGCCGCGCTGTACAGAGCCGCCGCCGCTCTCCCTCCCCCAGGCCGGCTATTTTTGCTGAATTAAGAAGGTGACATTATTCTTCTTTTCAAGTACTTCTGTTAATATTGAAAAACGTGCGCTTGCATTCCAAGCGCGCGCGCTCAGCCTCAGCAGCCATTTCAATATTAATGAAATTGTTTAATCTCCTAAATTCATCGTGTTTAAGTTACGTTTTGGTGAGTTATTGACCAACTCCGAAAATATTGTTAATGGAGGTGATGTGTATTCACCACAAAGGCTCTTCCTCTCCGGGCTCGCAGCTCCCGAGACAATCTTCAGCTCTGGCTCTAGGGTGCCAGGATGCTCCGCAGCCTCGGGAATACACATCGTGCAAACTTCCCTCCTGTGCCAGGGCAAGCCTGGCACCTTCCGGGCCTGATCCTTCCCCCGAACACCCGGCTGGCAGCCTGGGCTGCGGTTCCAGGATCGGGCCTCGGTTCCCGGGGAGGAGGGAGTACCGTGCATCGGAAAGAGCCGCAGCTCGGCTGTTCCACGTCCTGTCTGCTCCCACACACACAAGCGCGCACCGAGAAGCACACGGGCGGGCGAACAGTCTGAGACACATCATGCAAATCCCGCAGAAGACGTCAGGATGACGATGTTTATCAGAGTGACCGCTGACACGGAGCCATTAGCCCAGAGCAGCTCTGCGGGACCCCCAGCCTCGAGGCCGGAGGGAGCACAAGCGGACACTCCCGGTCCCGCAGCGGAGTGAGGAGCTCCTTACCGAGCACAACGGGGCCACGCCACGGTCAGGAGCCCCTTCGCTCGGGTGCACTGAGAGCAACTCCCGCATCCTTACACCAGCGGTCCTGCATNCGGCAGCCACAGGAGCCGAGCCTGGCTCTGCAGCCCCCTGTGCTGGAGGGAGTGGCCCGCGATGAGAGAGAGCTACCTTGAGCTGCTGGAAGTACTCGTTTGCCTGCTGCTGGCTGAGGCGCAGGGCCCGGGCGAGCAGCGCCTGCAGCGCCCGCGCCACGTCCCGCGCCATGCGCACGTCCCCGCACACGTAGATGTGGCCCTGCTGCACCTGCAGCACCTCGCACACGCGGGCCTCCAGCTGCCTCTGCAGGATGTCCTGCACATACACCTGGGAAACACAAAAAACAGCTTTCTGAAATGCTGCTTTGGTTGTTGGCTCTTCTGAATCCACCGTGGGGCTGTGCACTGAGGCTCTGAGTGCCCCGTCTGTTCTAGCTCTGTCCTGCACCACAGCAAAAGTGAAAAATGTCTTCAGGCTGCCCTTTACAAGCCCCAGAGGTGGAAGCTGGGCCTGTCTCTTGATCAAACTCGCACAGACAAAAACCCTTCTGTCTGCCAAACTCTCCTAACTGCCAGGAGAGCTAAGAAGAGGGTAACTTCTGTGCTATTGTTTTGTCAAGATTCTTCTGTGCAAAATTAATTTCCATGGTTACTGTGTCATTGAAATGGGGACAAATGACCAGAGCCAACTCATTTCTAACTCATGGGCTAATCAAATCTCGCAAAATACAAGGTTTCTGAAAATGTCCCAGTTCTAGTTTCAAAGGCAGTTTGCACTGGACGTGCCTCTGTATGGCAGTAAGGGGTTTATAGCACATTTATAGCAACTTATAGCACAGCTTGCTTGTGCTCGAGTGCACAGGGAAATTTTCCTTCATTTGAAGGAGCTCAAACCTGCTCACAATAAACTGAAGCAAAATGCTACGATTTTTTAAAGAACAGAGCCCAGATCTCGAGGGATGATTCTGGAGGAGTTAACCCTTAAAGAACAAAGGAACCAGCCTTACTTTGTCTTGGCCAGGCAGTCTAGAGTAAGCTGTGTAGACATCTCTCAGGACTCCCTTCCTCTTCATTTCCTCAGTTTCCTCTCTGTAGATGTGATCCACGTCTGGCTGCCGGCAGCCGAACAGCAGCGTCATGTCCCCTCCCCTGAGCCCTGGAAGCATTTGGACAGGGACTGAGCACCTGGGCACTCGCTGACACACGGGGCTGGCACCAGGCTGTGCCTACGGGACGGCCTCTGGGGGTGGATTGGCTGTGCCAGTGCAGTGCCCGATTAGCCCGGGAGTGCCAGTCCCTGCAGGGACTCCTGGCTGACATTTGTGGGTGTCTCTGCCCGCAGAGCCCTTGTCTGCAGCAGCGGGGGTGTCCCTGAGCCAGCCCTGCCCCAGCTCCCCTGGTACCTCTGTGCTCCAGGTCATAGAGGCGCTGCAGCCAGAAGCTCCTGAAGGGAGCGATCCCGGTGCCCGAGCCGATCAGAATGCAGGGCCTGGCGGGCTCCTCCGGCAGGTGGAAGTCATTAGCACTAAAAGTCAAGAATATGTTAATTAGGTAACAGGTTTCTGACTGAAATTCACGTTCAGTTGCCTGAATGACTCTGAGCAGCACAGCCCAGGTCCCCAGTCTGAAATAGGGCTGAACTGAGTGCCCCTTGTTCCCTCCCCTTTCCTTACTCTGCAGTGGAGAAGCTGACAGTGGGGATGGGGGTCAGAGGAATAGAATTACTTCAGAATTTTCTAATGATTTGTGATTTTACTAAATACTATTTTATTTTACTATGTTTATTTTACTAAATGCTATTTTTATTTTACTATGTAAGGTATGGTAAAAGATCTCTTCTCTGGAAGACAGGGAGTTAATTCCCTCTCTTCTCAGACCCAGTTGAAGTTCCAGCTTCAGCTCACCAGTCACTTGAAAATATCGAGCCAAGGAAAAACCACTGAAGAAGCTGAACTAAGAACTGCTCTTATTTGGGTTGTTTAATTTCCTTTACCTGCGGATGAAGCAGGGAACGGTTTCATTGAGCTCTATTGTGTTCAGCCATGTGCTGCAGACTCCATGGTGCAAAGGCCCTTTGCCATCTAAAAGCAGAGCAAGGCAGAACACCTGTCAGCACCGAAAAGCCTTCTGTTCTTAAAAAAGCAGTTTATACTTAAAATTTTAGCATAAATGTATGTCTAGTAATGATTTATAAAAGATGGATACACTGATGATGGTCCAGGATTTTAGCAAATCTTGGCCCAGTATGGAGACCTGCCCTGCAGGTACTATTCTGTAGGTATGACAACACAAATTTTTTATTACAGATATGCTTCGTGCTGCATGGCAGAAAGTTTTTTTCCCTGAACCATAACGTAGCCTAAATATCATTTAATTAAGAGAGAGATGAAAACAACAGCTCATTACCTCTTGTCCTGTAGTTTACAACTGCAACTGTCAGATGAATCTCTCTGGCTGTCATGTCACAGGATGAGCTGACAGAATAGTACCTGGGCTTCAGAAATGGCAGCTGAGTCAGCAGGAAAGCTGTGGAGATCTCAGCAGAGGGGAATTCCTCCAGGACCTCCAGGATGTTCGGGCTGTTGTAAAACTTCCATTTATTGTATTCTTCTGTGCTCTAAAAGCCAAACCATCACCACAACAATACAAGGTAATGCTGAGTTCAGGAGAGCAGGCATATTTGAAATGTCACTTATAAATAAGATTCCTGCTGTACATTCAATTAAATATGCAGGTAAATCAACAAAGAGTTTTCAAAACTTTGCCAGGACCAATACTGGGGTTTCCTAAGAAATAATTTAACTTTGAACACAGAAGTTCAGAACCCCTACTACAATGTTCTCAGACACCTGCTCTCTCAGTGAGGATGCAGAAATGGAAGTAGAGCCTGTTTCTCAGCTCCCTGTTGTGGCACAGCCATGAAATTGTGTAGTGCCAGGTCCTGACCTCCCCCGGGCCTCCCTTGTTGGAGTCTGAGACACAGAGTGTGTGCCCTTGTTTCTGATGCTTAGCTCTGAGATGCAGAAAAACACTGAATTTCATACAGTATGAAATTCATGAGCATGCTTTCATGGTGATACATGAAAACAACTGTTAAAGTTAGATACAAAAGCTAAAAGTGTGAGTGGATTAGAGAGTTTTCTTAAGTCACTGGATGAAAAAGTTAAAATTTAGAGTTTAAAATAGTTTAGAAAGCAGAAGACAAGATGGAGGATTTAGATTGTTGTTTCTTTTCCTTCTTTTTTCTCCATGTTCTTCTAGAAGAAACCTCTTCTTCTAGAGGTTTTTGGGTAATAGTAAGTGATTGGTTAGAAAATGCCACAGTGCAGCACACAGGTATTGGGTCATTAAGAAAAATAATATACATCTCTATTTTTAATTGGATAAGAATAAGTATAAAGATAAAAGAATTGTGTAGTTCAGGGCCATTTTGTGCTTTCAAAGCCAAAGTGAGCCACAAAGTGAGCTACAAGGCCATTCTATACCACCAGAAAGAAATGAACCAGGTTGCAGTGAATTGAACTTGTGCAGGTAGTCTGGAGGGACCTGACAAGTTTTGTGATAACATCCTAATAAACACGAGAAACAAGATCCTAACAGGCTTTGGAGTTTTTGTCCTGACCCAGAGGACTGTGATAAACAGGATTCCCTGTGAGGGAATATCCCCAATATCCCAATTTCTCAGAGGAGACTGAGAAATCCAGGAGTGAAAAAAAAGTACAGAAGAAGTGCAACAGAATCAGAAAGAGAAAAAAGAAACAGAGAAAGAATTTTTTTTAAAAAGTTACATCCCTGAAGCTGGTAGGAGTAGCCATCACTTACCACACCTGTGAGTCATTTCTTAAAGCCACATCCCTCTGACCCTCAGGGTAGCAAATTCTCTGACATAAACATTTACCAGCTGCCCTGCAGCTCCTCCACATGCAAAGTGTAAGGTCTTTAAGGGTGTCTCATCAGAAAACACTGTGTGGCAAGAGAATCAGGCAGGCAAATGACCCACCCAGAACCACACAGGAAAAACCACATCTTGGTTCCCACACCCAAGATGAGCCTCAAGACCCCTCTTCCTCTGACTGTGGTTGGCTTTCTAAGACCACAGAATATGTAACAGAAACATAAAAAAACATCACTACAAAAGTTCTTAAGCTTCTGCTACAGAGCCAAAGGGCATCAGAGGGCTTAGTGCACAGTTCTGCAAACACACCTCCAGCCCTAAGGCTCACCTGACACAACACCTCCAGCCTTTGCTTGTCTCCTTCTGCTGTCACCAGCTGGGAGAGTTTTTTTAGCAGTTGTTGGGAGGGTGGAGTAGTAATATCAAGCAAGTATGTCAAAGCCTCAGGTAGTGTGCAGGCTGGAACCTTTTTATGACTTGTCCAGTATCCACCTGGAAATGAGGGAAAGAAAAGGACACTTAGCAACACACACAGTATTTGAGAGCTGTGAAGATTTGCAAAACTCAGTGTCCTTCAAAATACCCCTTCAGGTGAGGGTGCAGCAGGTCTAGACCACTGGGCCCTCCTGAAAGAGATTACTGTGAGGTTTTGAACATTTTGTAAGGGGAGGATCTGCCACAGAAAATTTCATGACAAAAAAATATCACTTGGAAAGTCACAGTCTTTAATTCGGGGAAACCATCTTTCCATGTTCCAGAATCCTATGATTGTTCCTACTACTACAGGAAAGAAGGGCAGGACATATAGGTCTATTTTAGGACTCTTACATGTAGCAACAATAAGCAAACTGTTGATTAATTTAATGGCAGTCAATGGCCAGTTCAGCAACTGAATTAGTGCCACCTCAGGTACATCTGCAACCCTGAATTCATGGTTTTGCCAGAAAGAGCAAAATGATAACCAAGAATTGTAAGAATAACTAAAAATCAGCAGCAAATCCTATTGAAACTTAAGAAAAGGATCATAGAATCAAATTCAGTCAACAAAAATTCTTATGAATTTTAACAGAATCTATCCAATATCCTCTGTTGTTTTGTCTAAAGAGACCCAACTTACCATCAATGCAGGTTTCAAGCCTGATAGTCTGGTCAGCTGGAGGGGCATCCTTGACACGTGCAATAATGCCATGGACTAACTCTGCCTGGTTGCCTGGGAAAATCCCAATGTGCTCCCCAGGAAGGTAATGCACTTCCTGGTTAGTCTCACAGTGAAGTTTAACCAGAATGGTAACGCGACTGGAAAGCAAAGAAAGAGAAATGAGACAGATCTTGATAACATTGACAGGATTTCCCTTGGATTGCACAGGAAAGGAATAAATCTGCAGTGGCAGCTGGCAAGGACTCCCTTGTGTTCGTTACCAAATACCAGAGCAGCTTAGAGCTTCACAGAGACAAACAAATCAGAGTCCAGGCATGTGAAGTACTTGTATCCAAACAATTTGGGTGCTGAAGTTCTGCCTGGTCTGTCCAATACAGAATAAACACACCTGGAATCAGCCAGTGGAAGTGCAGACTGCACAGCTCACATGCTTCTACTAAGGACAGTACAAAATTCCTTTATATTTTGTAATAACTGCAGGGAGAAGATGTTTATAACCAAGCACTTTAGATGTTTAAGATTTTGGTAAAATGTAGTATTGCAATACTCAAAAGAATGAGGTAGCATACCTGGACTTCAAACTTTGAAGATTCTGCCTGAACTTCAGCTTCATGGGAATTACATCCTTGGCATGAATGCTTGCAAGAGCTGGTGAGAAAAGTGGATATGACTCTTGGTAACTCTGATTAGGTTTGTTTAAAATGTCTTCAATTAATATGCAGAGGAGAACTGAACCATGCTTGCCCTAGAAGGTGACCAACCATCAGTCTGTTGTGTGTGCCCCATTCCCTGACTAAAAGCAGTTCATCTCAGCTTTTGTTCCTCTGGGGCTGTCTAAATGTGGGATAGTTCCAGTGTTATTGTGCTAGAAAAGATAACTTAGACAATGTAAACCAGTGTATTTTTAAATCTGACCTAATGTGCTTCATTATAGGCATTCTACTGTCCAGCAGGGCCAAAAGCTCTTCTGAGAAACCTTCACTGTTCAGCCCCTCTAAAGCAGCAAAGGCAGAGGGAGGAAGGTGGGAGCAATACCTTTAGCGAGGTCCATGGGCTGGGAGTCGTGCACTAGCCTGTAATTAGTAGGGTCCCAGCTTTCCTCAGAGCTGTAGATCTCAGGCAACTGAATACTGTGTCTCCCACGGATGTTAAAAATGTCACAGGCAGTCTAGGTAAAATACCACAAAAATAAAGGCTATGCACAGTAAAAAAAAAAAAAATTAAAAAATTAAAAAAAATATATATATTCTTAGCATAATCCTAATACAGAGGCATCAGTTTCACAGACTGCTGGTTTTTAGTGCCTCTTCTGTGTGAGTTCAGTGAGTTCAGTGAGGTTCCACTTCTATAACAGTATAGCTAAAAAAGATCTACTGCAAAAAATTCAGATGTTTGATGCTACTCTTGTTCATACTGAGCATTCCATTATCCAAAAGGGTTAATGCAATTTTGGGTGGATATTAAAAAATAATAGAAAAGGGACCCAGTTCCCACTCCAAGTTAGGCAAGCAGTAGATAAGAGGGGAGTTCCAAATTCAGATATAAATTCAGATGTTTGCTTTCTTTCAATTTCCTTCATTTTTATGAGAACTGAACTCAAATGAATGGATGAATGAGTAGAATAAGAGATGTATTTCTATATTCACCTTGAAAGCACTGATTGCCCAGCTGCGGAAAGCTTCTTCTTGCCCATTGAGTTCATCCCCTTCACCCACTGGAGTGAGCTGGGAAGCCCCGAGTTGGGCCAGTTTTTGGTCAATGGCATGAGCAAAGGCACAGAACTCTGGGTACATGCTGGATCCCAGACCAAACACAGCATATCTGCAGAAGGAGACAAAAAGAAGGTTGCTATGTTATGCTATATGGAGTGCTAAAGGACTCAATTGCATGCAAACCAAAGTATTTTTACCTAATTTTATTTCTCAGCAGTTTCAGTCTGAGCAAGGAGTCCTTCAAGGTCTGCATAAAAATACGTAAAATACACTTAAGGATAAAAATACTCTGATTTAAGACAGAATACTCTTATTTGAAATCTGATCCATATCTTACTGAAGAACATGAGATAAATGAAAGGTTTGTCTGGTCTTTGAGCTGAGTCTCATACACACTTCTGAGGTGAACATTACCTTTCCGTTACCTGGAGAATCTCCATTTCCAAAAGTGCTAGTAACCACTAAAAGAAGTGTTTCTTTTTCCAGGTCACAAATATTGTACTCATCCATGCACAGAATCTGGAAGGAATAAAGCTCATGAGACATTGCTCACAGCCATAAGAACTAGCCTTAGATATCTCAGATGACTGCTGACCAAACTTACATGGCATTATGCCAAATGAATACAAAATCAAAATTATAGTCCAACTTGTATTTACAGAACTTTGAAAACACAGGTTTGGAGAAGGGAAAAGCCTGCAGAAGCCAAACTCCTGTCTCCAGAGGCGTGGCTGATTTGTACTGCTCACCTTAGTGCTGAAGGCACAGCTGAACAGGCTGCACAGGTTATTGGCGAGCGTCTCTGACTTGCCCGTCTCTGTGGCATAGATCACAGTGACCTTGGCCCTCGTGGCCACTGCTCCTTGCATAAGTGAGGATGCAAAGAGCACAGCCCTGGGGAAGGAACAGTCACACACAACTTTTAATGGAGCTACAGTAATTCAGACTGATTCACAAATAAGCTAGGAAAGACTGAGCTTGAGAATGGCTTCTCTCTGGAAGATGGTTCAGAAGCAACACACTGTCTGTAGACGGCCCTAAGCAAGAACCTTAGACAGGAATGTTTCCTCAGGGTGGACAGGTAAGGCTGTGATTCAAATCACTCAAGTGGTCTGTACTGTAATAATTGTTTTTAAAGAAGTACAGCAGAAATATTATAAGAATAGAATAGTTGGACAAAGAATGAAGAATCTTATTTGAACAACTTACTTTGCCAAGATGCTAAACCTTATTTCTTTTTTCCTTGGCCTGCGGGCCTCATCATGCCACACATGTGTTTTCCATGCATCCACCTTTAAAAAGAAAGTTATGCTTTAAGTAAGGAATGCAAAATAGTAAATAAACAATTTGTGTATCTTTAAGGGGCCAGATCAGAATCTGTATATACAACCCACTGAGTAAAAATATGGGATCAGTCTCTGCTGCATTAAACTGTATTTCAATTAAAGCCAGAGAATTCAACAGAACTAACAACACCTCCCACATCAAATAGCTCCTGTCTGCTCCTTCTGAATCCGTCTAGTGAACTTCCATGAACTAGGGCTTGGCACCCAGACTCCCTCAGGTCCTGTATCACATCTGTACCACTCAGGTTGTTTGCTAGAGTCGGTTTTTCTTTTGATGATGTGTACCTGGTAGTAATAGAAGGGAGTGAGGACATAGTTCAGCATCTCTTGGTGGAACACAGGGGTTATGCTGCCTGACATGGGAGGCACAATCCACACCCAGTCTGCCGGGCAGCCACCCCGCACACGGTACTCGCTCTGCATGTACTTCAGGAAGGACTCGGAGGCCGAGTGGTGATCCATGATGGTTACATTCTGTTTCTAGAACAACAGCAAAGAGAAAAACATGCATTAAAAACCCTATTCTGCTCGTCTACCTGGTGTAGCTAAAGTAATCCTCTTGCTTTGGTCAATATTTCAAGAACTTTACTCAGAGTAAAGGGAGTATTTATGGGAAATAAATACTATCAGCAATTACTCTAAAGATACAGAGTGAGGTGCGGGCCTTTGATTAAGAAATCTTAGATCTTTTCTTTAACATCAGCATTTTACCTCTGCAGCACTGGGAGTGCATGCTGCAAAGCCTCTGACTCACTTTTACCCACTTTTCATGTTGTCATGATATGTTAAACTGGAATTGAAAATAAAATGTATTAATCCAATGGCTTTACATAGGTTTTGAAATGTGTTAAAAGGATGAAAAATCTTGCCCTTTAACTGCCTTTTTGCATTTTTCTCTTCCTTCTGCCTTTACCTGTGAGGAAATATGGATTCTTGTACTTTCTCAGGTGTAAATCAAGAATAACTCTAGTGGAATCATAATGTCATCTCCACTGAGTGAGAGGAAAAAGGGACCGTGAGTATTCAGTGTCTCTCCAGATGCCATTCCAGGTTCCATTTACCTGGAAGCTGTGAAGCACAGCCACATTGATCTCTACAACAGCTCGGTCCTTCCATAATGATGAGAGTTTGTTTGTTTCCAGTCCCATTCTCCTCCCCACCTCCTACATGTGGAAAAGATAGAGAAAAGAGAAAAGCAAATGTACGATATGGAACTTAGACCCCCTGATTTCTCAACCTCATCAACTTTGTAATAGGAAGAAGTCGTGTAGAAGGGAAAAGAGTCAGAATCATGCTGGGGAAAGTGATGGCAACAGAAACCTGAGATTAAAGGTAAACTGGAATTTTGGAGCTCTGGTTCTTGAGGATGTTCCAGCTTCATAAGGCAGGGAGTGGTTCTCTCCCATCCCAGTGAATACTGATAGTGTCTCTTTTCCAAAACTGTTCCTGCACTGAGTTCCCTCCCTTTGCAGCCCAGCCCAGCTCCCCTCCAGTAGGTCACCTTCAGGATGTTGTAGCGCTGAGCGTCACAGAAGTCCCGCACTCCAATCTCTGTCCCCATGTACCAGCCATTGAAGGGACAGGCGGTGAACTCCAGCCCTCCCACCTCCAGCAGCATGCTGGCCACAGCAGGCAGTGCATACCACTTCAGGTCCAGCTCCCTAAACCACTCGTACCTGCCAAACAAGAGTTATTATTTGTGTGTTTTCCTCGAAAAACAGAAAAGCCCAGGAAGATAAAGAGTACCAATTCTACGAGGAGCCCCTGCACCAGGGTCTGCAGAAACTCAGAGCAGTTTTCAGTGCAGAATTTGGAAATCACCAGCTACACCAGCTACAGGAACTGCAGAACCATATTACAGAGTTCTGCAATCTGCAGGCCAGTTCCAAAGCAAACAAGAAGGAAAAAAAATGAGAGAAAGGCAATAAACACTGTTATGAGTGCAGTGGTACATGTGCATTACACTGGCATAAAAAATTAGAATTTTTAAAATTCTGAATATAATTGAAATGTAGATTGGGAAAGTTTTCCAACAAAACTGTAATTTGCTTCCTTAATTTAAATCTCATTTCATTGTTCTAACTGGCATTTTATCTCTCAGGATGATTTACCATCATTTCATCCTGACAAAGAACTCACAAAACAATTGCCACAGGCGCAGCCCAATAACCTGCCAAGGCAGAGGCAAAAATGCAATTTTCTAAATCTTGTGTGCTTACTTTGGATGCTCCATTGGCACTTGGAGGACAATTTCTGGAGGTAATTCAAATATTTCTGGGTCTTGGCCATTTGCTTGGAGAACAAGTGGAAGTACATCAAAGCGGCCATATTTCGGCTTCCACCCAAGCTTGGTGCACAACTGCGAATACAGAAAGCACATTTTCTGTGTTCTTTTCAGGTTTCCCCTCCGGATCTGAAGACAAAAGAATTTTAACCCCCTGAAACCTGCTGAGGTAAATTCTAAGTAAAAAATGTCCTCTTTGCCATTCCAACAGTGTTGAGTCACGCTGATGAAGTACTGATTGTGTCCCTGGTCATGTCTCCTGACAGTATTAATTCACCCTGTCTGAGATGGAGGGCAGCACTTCGATATGAGGACTGTAGGAGATTATTGTTCCAGCCTGCACCTACAACCTGTGGGGCAGAACATCCCATCCTCACCTCTCTACCACTCTGCATGAACATGTGAGGAAGGAGCCCCAGGGAGGGGGGTTAGCCAAGAGGGGAAGCAGCTGTGGCCGTGAGTTTGGAGCTGTACCTGAGTGAACTCCACAGTGGCAGGGTCTCCAAGGACAGAGCCATCTGGCATTTGGTAGCCAGCGTAGCGGATCAGCTGGCTGTTCCACACACGGAAATCGTGCTGCCCATCCGTCCTCTGCGGGAACACCGTGATGGCTGACCTGCCCGGACAGAGAGCACGCCTTACAAACATATCCTCACTATTCACACGGAAATTGCTACCAACAGAAAATGTTTTACATTTCTAAAATGAACATCAGTAGAAATAAAATCATTCATCCTCTTTGCCCACCTCCCCAAATCTTCAAATCATCTCTTTTCCCCGGGAATTGCAAAAGGTTTTGTAACATCAGCCATGACAGTTACACATTTTCAAGATGGTTGAGGGAACACATGACAGGAAATCACAAGTACCAGGAAAATTAAAAGCAGAGACAAGTTGTCAAAGTGTTTAGATAGACCATTTCAAGTGTTTTTGATGTCAGATCTGGATATGATTTTTGTTGTTTAAAATTAAAATTAGAGACCTACCTTATATTACCATTATTTGTGGCATACTGAATATGACGACAGATATGTTCAAACATTTCCTTGGCTGTTTTACAGTCCCGTGCATCAAGCACCTGTGTGTTTCCAACAGAAATGTAAAGAAGAAGACTAATTTTGAAACAGTAATCCAAAGCTGTTATTTTTCCTATTCACTTAAGGAATGGAAAGATTGTGGCTCCACTAGGAAAGGTTCATTTTTATAATTCTTATATGCATAATTTTCACCCATAACAATCCACCAAGGACCAAAACATGCACCTGGTTCCATGACACACCTGGTTCTTACACTGCTACACATTTTCATTCAGCCATGAAGCAGAGGACTACAAAGAAGCCAATCTCCTGATATGGACAGGAGGGAATCCTCCTGATTTGAAACAGTGACATTCTTCTGAGTCACAGCAGAGGACTGTTTGGCTACAGCTTAATTGGACATCCACAGCTCACCTGCAGATTGGACCACTGGATTCTTCCAATGCACCTGGGCGCGTTCCTCCAGGCCTGCTTGGCAGCAAAGATCAGCTCATCCTTTGTCAGGTGGTAGGTTCCTGTTGTTTCTATCTCCTTGGTCACTGTTTCCAGCCGGCCCAGATGCTCTTTGATTTTTGGCCTTTTGAACAGGAAACAGCCATGAAAAGAACAATGAGAATTTCATTCAAAGTGCAGATGTTCTTTTTATGTTTTGGCTTCAGAATTTAAGACTTGTCCTTATGGAGTGCAAGGACAGAGCTTATTGGCCCCATGAAGAAACTAACACACAAGAAATTTAAATATTGACACCACCCTTTCACTACCCAATATATGCATGGATTGGCCACAAGCTATTCTGTGTAAAATTTTTGGTGTAAATTTGGATTTTCTAGATTAATTTGAAAAAAAAATCACAAGGAAATGAAAACCAGGGCACATGTAGGTTGAGAGTGACTGTCCTCTCAAAGTTCCATTGTGCCTACAAGGCCACAGCTCTTCTGAATAAAGTAAGATTTTCATTCCTAAAAGGAAGTGCTGAGCTGCTCCTTTGTCCAGGAAACCAACTCTAAAATTCTTGAGTTTCATAACAGAGAGTGAAGTCAAAACATTAGAAAATATTTATCACAGCAGAGACAAAAATTGTTTTGTTGTCTTACAGACAATGAAAATAGCCTGCACTGTCTGAGAGTTTTCACATTTTCAGCAAGATGAAAGATCAAGGGCAAGCATGTGAGATAGTGTAAATCAGTGTGATCAAACAGCCGTGAGCAGTGACACAGGGATGTGCAAATGCAACAGGCTGGTGAGGACAGCCTGTGTGTAAGACAGGGATTTTCAGAAAGATTCAGAGGGAAGAAAGATTTGCACGGAGTTCAAAGTGTCTAAAGAAGTGGCCATTATGTGGCTGAGTCCCTTTGAAGGTTTGATAATCCTTTTGAATGGGATGAGCAAACACTCAGTTGTTGCTTGAAAGCTTCTGTGGAACTGCACTGCAAGCCCTTGGAAATCAACCAGCTCTTCCAGCATTTTCTGCAACAAGATGCCTCTGCACCATGGCCATTTTTGTGAAAAGACAAACCCCTCTTGGAATGGTCAGTGAGTTTATGTTGCTAGAACAGAGCAAGGGTGAGAAACAACACTGGCCTTCCAATCTATGGCTAAAGCCTTGAGAGGAACACAGAGAAAAAATACTTGGAACAGAACAAACAAAAGGCATTATCCACACTGAGACTCATCTGAGGTTCAGCTAATCTTAAGAAGCTAGAAGGTAATGCTCTGGCAGAGAGTCCTCAATGTTCTGGAATGTAGCACACTCCAAAGGGATGGAGCTGAGGAATGCATGGTCCAGAGTCCTAACCCGTGTTCTCAAGATCTTGGGTTGGAAGATGGAACACATGAAGTGCAATGACAGTTTTATTTAACATTTTTAACAGGCCTTAAATATTCTTGAATGCATGCTATGTAACAGGGTAGTTACCAAGAGATGCGAAGAAACCAAACCCTCCTGGAGGCTCAGAGACAGACAGGTAGGTAGAGGATTTTATAGCAAAAATCAAGTTGACTTACTCTTTAAAGGAACTGTAGTACTGCTTGAGGAAGTCTACTGCCTGAGGTAAAAGATCTTCCAGTGGAACTGGCCCATCTCTGGTACCTCTCACCAGGCCCTTTGGGGTCATGACTGACCCTTGGCAGGCTTTGGTCCGGCAGCTGATAACCTGAAAAACAATACAATGTCAAAAACCAATGTTGCACTCTGTATCTTTTAAAATTTCTGACAACTCCCTGTTCATATTTCCATATTTTACCTCTTTTGCAGTCAGGTGTAATGTGTCAAGAAAGCTGGATCCATTTTCCAAATTTCTTACTTTTACATGTCTTGGACATCCTGATACTTGGTTTGAAACTTTGATGTCATTTGGAGGGAGATTCTGGGCAGAGAACAGATAAAAACGCATACTGTCTTCAGACCTATTGAATATACTTCAGTTTCATTTTAGATTTAATGTTAACATCAAATATTTCAGATTAAATTCAAGAAACCAGATATAAATGTGATCTGCTCCAACATGATTATTTGACTACAAAACTACAGAGCTAGTCTACAGTTTGATATGAAATGGGGGAAAGAAAGTATTTTTGTACTAATCAAACAGTGTCTGCCACTGCAAATACTTTTATAATTTCAATAAGTCCTCTGAGTATCTCTGAGCACTACAGTCACAGTCTCAGGAAAAAAGTGTACCAATTTCAGAGACAGGACAGGCTTGTTACTAAAGGTCTGAAAAGGTATATAAAAGAATCAGGCATTGCAGTCCCCATGAGGTCACCTTTTCCTTTAAGTCTTATCAATGCTCCATTTTTGTCAGAAAAGAACTTTCTACCCAAAGATGCCCTAGCAGTCCTAACCACAGTCAGACCTCCCAGGATAATGTGGAGCAGTTGTGAGCAGCAAGCACCACTCATGAACTGTTACTATCAAGCAATGATGCTGGGAACAGACCTCTCTTCCCTCACTGGGCTTTGCTGAAGTTACGATAGGCAGCCCCTCCATCTGCTTCTTGCTTGGAGCATGCAATTTGGCATCAGCCTTTTCTGAGCTTCTGCAGAGAGAAAGAGAAGTCAGTACGAGGCAATGTGCTTTATTTCAGGCTTTGCTTTCAGCATCAGTAGCAGATTCTCAGTGCTGTCTCTGGAATATGTACTGAGCCCATAAGCCAGCAGTGGCAGTGGGCAGGATTCAGTAGTAAAGCCACAGTACCAGGGCACTGTGCGCAAGGAAAGGAAGGAAGGCAGGATATGAAACCTGAAATAAGAAACACCCTGAAGACAGAGAAATTTTAAATGCATGTGTCACTTATTTTATACAGTGTTGTGTATGAACTGCACCACAGAACAACTTCACCAACTTAATTGCAGTATAAATAATCATTAAAAAAAAAAATTAATATATTTATAAAGTAAAAATAAATAAATGCTATTTTTATAGCATACACACCTCCTGAGACTTAGAATACCTGAAACCATGATAACACACCAAATAAATTTAAGACTGTGAAAGAGACAGCAAGATGATTTATATGCTCAATGACTGTTTAAGTTTCACACAAGTGTTTAATGTTCATTACCAAGTTACACCACCCAGAGTCCCACAGTTCTTTGGTAAATACCAGTATTTTGGAAACACTTTACAAGTTTCTCCAGGACCCAAACCACTTAATATCTTCCCTTTTCAAATCAAAGATAAACTATGAAACCATTAAAAACCATTAGAAACCATTAAAAAGGATCTTACCCATGGATCTTCCTATTTTTCTCCGCGTTGTTGTTGATATCTTTCTCTCTGGGGTACTGGTTCTTGGTGGCATGAGATTTGAACACAAACTGCCATGGGCACAGCATTTTGTATGCTTTTTTTGTGGTTTTACTTCACTGTGCTGAAACCTTGTTTTGTGTGATGTGGGAACACTTCTAAGGACATAAAAAACCCAACAAGGTCAGTTTTTACCCAAGAGGGCAACTCCCTCTAACGTCTCAGAAACTCATCAGCCTAATTGATCTGATCTAACAGATCCTGTGTTAAAATGAAAATTGCTTGATTCTTAGGATAATGATACTAAAACTAATGCTCTGTCAGTACACAGCAGCCATGTACCAACCTAAAATACTGGCAAGAGAATTTCAGAAGACTCCTAGTCGTGTAAAGCAGCAAATATTGGTGTCTGAACAGACCACAAGCTTAGAAAAGGGATGTGAAATGCTGCTGTGTTATAAATGAACCAAAACATTTTGCAGTGTATCCACTTGCTAGAGATAAACAGGATTCTGAGAGGCTGAAGTCTGTGGTTTCTAAGATGTGTAGCACTTTTTCATAGCATTTACATAAGAGTGTACAAAGTTTATGCTATTCACTTTAACATACATTTTCTGCTCATTTCTGAACATAAGATGGATTTTATGCTAGGGAAACTGTGACAGAAGAGAAAGATCAAGCCAGTAAATTGCAGGGTTAGAGAGAATCAGCCCCAGCGTTTGAATCTGGTTCATAAAAGAAATGAAAACCTGGTATTTCCAAAGGTAGAAAATAGACATTGTCACATATTCCTGATGTAAATTATGTCTTATTTTGATACTTATGTTGCTTTTACAGTAGAAGTTAAATTTATGCTGGGCTCTGAAGATACTGTCTGTTGTAAAGTCACACAAAAAGAGAAATTCATTCAACTGTCTGTGCAGAAACTGCAAGGTGTTAGGATTGATTGCTACTCTAGGTGATAGAAATAATGTGTAATAAGCATTTGTCTACAGTTATGAAATAGGAAAAAAATCTAAAGTACTATTCTGCAATAAAAAAATCTGTGATGTGCCTATACAATTTTGTGAAATAGAGGGGTAAAAGAGAGAAGAAATGGAGAGGAAGGAAGTGGCAGCAGGCAGGCAGGCAAGAAAGAAAGAAAAGAAAGAAAAGAAAGAAAAGAAAGAAAAGAAAGAAAAGAAAGAAAAGAAAGAAAAGAAAGAAAGAAAGAAAGAAAGAAAGAAAGAAAGAAAGAAAGAAAGAAAGAAAGAAAGAAAGAACAATAATACATAGGGAAAAAAGGAGGACAAATAGGACAAAAAGGAAAAAAATGAGGAAAATGAGGAAAAATATGAAAAATAATAACAGGGAAAAAGAATTATAATAATAAAAAGAAAAAAAAAAAAAAGAAGAAAAAGCAAAGAGAGCAGACTCACATTTCCCTTCAGTGGCACTCAGAGCAAGAAGCTCCTTGGTGTCCTGCACCGCGGTGTTCTGTGGCAGCACTGACAGTATTACCTGTTACATGCACAAACCTTTAAATCAGCAGAAAGGAGGAACAAAGTTTTCACAACGACTGGACAGCTTGGAACTAGAGCAGAAGACTGAGTCAGACACTTTGCTCCTAATATAGAACAAAAAGATACAATTTGCCATATAATTACTTTACCTGTGAGCTGCAGTAAATGACAGAATGAATAGCTGGACACGGTGCTTCTCACTGTGCTTTTGTGAGAGGTGTCCCAACCCTGCCAGGAGAGACTCCTCTCTGTAAAAGTTTCTTGCCTTTCACCTCTCAGGCTCTGTATTCCTCCCGGGAGGCAAAAGCCTTTTATAGTGCAGGACCATGTATGCAAAATAGCTCTGAGCAAAGCTGGACATAAGGTAGCGAAACCAGGGGGATTCCCCTGGTTCTGTATTGCTTGGAGAAGTGGAGGGTGTGTGGCTGCTGCACGAGCAGCATTACATAACCTGTGTGAGGGAGGGAGGCAGATCCTGATGCTGTCAGCATCCCTTCCTTCCCTGGCGTGCTGCAGCCTTGACTCCTGCTTGTGCTTCTGGAAAGGGCAGGTGTTTGCAGCCTTGCACACAGTGTTAAAATTAAAAGAAATAAATGCTGAAGGGCTTCTCACAGCTTTCATCTCTGTGTGGCCAGTCTCCAGGCACACTCCTGTACACCACCTATGGCTGTAGGAAGAGGGTGGGCAGCTTCAAGAGAAATGTTACAGAGCTGTTGAGCTTTACAGTACAGGCCAGGAAAGCATTTAACCACGTGCTTATAACTAAGGACAGGTATTTTAAGTTTCACATATATATATATACATCCTTTCTTTTTATCAGATTTTAAAGGATCTTTCTCAATACAGTATTTGTAGAATTACTTGCTCTCCAAAGCTCCCTGTTCTGCCTGTTGCTGCCTGTGAGATTTGTCCCTTGGTGCTTTTCCAAAGTATTGGGAATACTGGAAGAAAACTGCAACTTGCTGAAGTACAAACCATTCCCACCATGCTGTATGTGGGAATACCAGGGGGATAGCTGGATGAGGAAGATGGGACTGCTGAGATGATTTTCAATGTCAGACAACCTTTTACAAAACCAGACTTCTCCCAGCAGTCTGGAAGGCAGAAAACCCTTGGGACAGGGCTGGCAGCAGCAGTGCCCAGTGCTGTCAGGCACCTGCAGCCCATGAGTGTGATGCCAGATAGTGTTCCAACAAGGATTTTGACCTGCCTTATTTGTTTCTTGATATTATGTATGGCTATTTTAAGGAAACTGTTTACAAATTAAAGACGACTAATAAATCTGCTGACTAGTATGAGTCAAATGAAGTGCATTGATAACAAGGGAAACATTTACAGTTGCTGACCAAAGATCTACAATAATGAGGCATAAGGCAGCCAGAGAAATGAGGAAATGCGTGCTCTTTTCTTGTCTGTCAGTCTTTTACTGGGCAAGCTTGGGCAAAGTATTTTCTTCTCTCTGTGTCTAGCTTCTCTGTTTGAAAATGAACATTAGGTGATTGTGTAAAGCATTTCTAGAGGCAAAGCAAGTGCTGTGCACACGTGTTCATGCATGAGATCCCTTGTATGCATCCTATCCAGGATTCTTAGGGATGAATCTCTTGACAAACAGACCTGAGTTTTCTGAGCATTCATCTTCATGGCTTTATCAAGCCTGTGCTGCTTAGCATCCACTGCTCATGAATTTTCACAGTTGGGTTTTTCTTTAATGTGATGCCTTTCCTCTTACCAGAATTAGCAGGTGAATACCTTTGTTTAAAATATTCCAGTCATCAGGCAGATGTAATCAGCAGCAGAAACGATGTGTGAGAGCTGTGCCACTCAATGCTATGCCAGAAAATTCTGCCTTTACATTCTTCTTTGCATTTTCTACTTTGTAACAGGGTTTAAAAAATTCTCTTTGCATCCTTCCCTTTCTTATTAACTTCTTCTATAGAACATGGAATCTTAATGTCTAGTACTATAAGAAAGAACATACCTTAGTAGAAGTCTATTTGAATTCATTGGGTTCTAAGCTTTTAGTATTCACCCTCCTCATTTCCCTGTGCTTGGGACTGCTGAAATCTAGGAAGGGTCATGTAGGGATTGGATATGAAAAATAAGATTTGGGATAACCAGAGGAGAAACATCTTTCCTTAGGAGAATTGTTAAAAGGATTGGCTGAGGTACAGCCATTCAGGGAACTGCTTAATCACTCCAGTTGCTCATACAGGACCTGTTTTTTTACTCACTTGAAATCAATAATAAAACTCTCTCTGTTCAATAAGAACAAGAGAGAACCATTCATTCCTCAGGTGGACCAGAGATTAACTGAACAAGCTCACTGGGCACTCCTTCCACAAATATTCTACGGGGCTTGGAAGGTTTTTCCTTCAGAAAACAAATTCTGTCCATATTTCCTACTTTTGCAAAGACACTTCTTCGTCTGCCACGAAGAGTCTGCCATCAGGAGTGCAAAAACTGGTTGCTTTCCTTGCATTAACTTTGATGAAAGAGGTGCCCTTTCAGAGCAGACTTTGACCTATTCAATACTGTCATCTTGATTTAAATTTTGTTTTGTTTCTGAATGTTTGATGGCCTGCAGCCCCAAACACTGCAGCTCTCTGCAATTTCCAAGTGAGTCACATTCTGTGTCTGATGTTATCATATACATCGTATCAGCAAGATTCTGCATGAGCTCCAGAAGTTATATTCCTGAAAACATTTACAGATCAAGCTCTGGTTGTAAGGTTGCCTCATCTGAGATCAGGGTATTCTGAGTCTTCAAAGAACAGCAGTTCTTTGAGGCAAAAACAATTGAGACAAAGTTGATGACAATGAGGGCTGTCTTCCCTGCTTCATGGAACCCAAAGAGATGTTCAACTGTCCCAACATTTCATAGGTTATTAGTGAGCTCTTTCTAACTCCCTTTTCCTAACTAATGTAACTATTCTCTGAGATATCTCTTGCAGCAGTGCTGCACATGACAGCACAATAAATACAGTACTGCAGCCCCGGTAAACACTCAGCATCTCAGATTTGTTAGGACTTCCCTCACATCTGGTGGTTTCTGATGAAGATAGAATTAATAACAATAATAACTATTGCTGTTCCCAAATATCTCCTCTCATTGACTACTGTCAGTCATCTTTTACACTGATTTGGCTTTTCATTTCCCAAATAAAATTTGTTTGGTTTGAATATTCCCCCAAATTTTGCAAGATGGCAACTCTAGTTTTTTTTTTGTTTGTTTTCTGATTGCTGACTATTCCTTTAAGGGCTTTAAGATATTCACCATTAACTGCAGCCCCTTCTTCACTGGCTTCTTTATTATTTCAAAATGTTCCTGATAAAGTGGGGATAACAACTGTACTAAAAGCAAAATAAAAGATCTAGGCCTTGTCCCTTGAAAACATGCAAATGAAAGTAGGATCCCAGGCCTGTCTGGACTCTTTGAGTTTCTGCAGATTTAAGGTACGTTTAAAGCAGCTGTTTAGTGTGGAAAGTTCAATGTTTTGTTTGCTATGTCCTGCTCTCCAGTGGCAGATTGGATGTCAAGTAATGGCAGGGCAGGACAGAAAATTTCCCAATCTGATCATCTGAGGGCAAAAATGAAAGTTAAGGAGAGTGCTAAATTTGCAGAGACTTGCCAGTAAACCCACTCCTTCCTGTCTGCTTGCCGTCAGTTAGGCCAAACTCAGACATGCAGAAAAAACAGAATTCCCTCATCAGTCACCCTCTCCAAAATTCCCAGGGATGAGGAAGTGAGGGAGGACCAATGCCATCTGGCAAGCAATAGCCAGACTTTGCTGTGCCTGGCTGCACGTTGGCTCAGGCAGAAGTGATTGCTGACACCTCCGCTCACCCCTGAGATCCTCAGCCACAGCTGCAGCAGCAAAGACAAAACTACAGCAAAAAAAGAGAGCAAAATAACAATTAGCAGTTGACTGGGCCTAAACCCTGGTGTCCTGCACATGGCCATCACAAGCTAGGCTGTGTCCTGCCCATCATTTCACTCCACTGAAGATGTCCCTGTGTGGAACATAAGGAAAAGCTGTCATGTGAATTGGGAAAAGGCATAGAACAGTGTTTGATACTTGTGCTCCTGCAATCCATGCTTGTCACAGCTGAACAGAAAAAAAAAAAAAAAAGATTACTGTGTGCAAAAAGAGTTTTATGCTTGAAAAATAACAGTGAACTGCAGAGCTGCAAATGTCTTCTTTAGTAAAAGCATGGTTGGAAGAAGAAATGCCAATTGCAGTAACAGAGCACTGGCTGAGGCCAGTAGAATCTCTAACCAAGAGCAGGTAACAGAGGAGATGTGAAGAACAGAATACTGAAGTATAGAAGTAACTTGAGTTCTGAATCTAAAAACTTTGGTGTTTTTACTTCAAAACACACTGTTGGAACAACTTCAGTAAAACTTATGTGCTTCTCTTTATTGGTGACCTCTGAGTCTCTTTTCCTTACACCTGCCTTTATCTACTCAGTTGTTTCTTGCACATTCAGGTGTCACACTTTGGACAGTGTACCTTAGTCTGCACACAACCAAAGCATGCTGACCAGCTTTCCATGTCTCCTGCATGGAGACAGGGGTTTTCTCAGGTAATTTTATGCCTCTGCTTTATCTATATGCACTGTTTTACTACCTCAATTGTTTTTAAGGACTCCTTGCTAAGCACTACAGTTAGGCCAGTCTTGCCTATGTCTGCACAACTTTCAGTGTCTGTGAATTACACCACATTTTCAAAACTTTCCATGAGAGTGAAATTGCCACCCCTCTGCCCTTCCCGATAAGGAAGTGGTGCCAGAGGGTGTGGGGTGTGAGCTTACAGCTCCTTCTCTAGCAACTATCTACTTTTCCCTATTAAAAAAGACAATGTCCATGGCACATTCTTCATAGTATTTTTAGTCAGTTTCCCTGGATGCTAACTATGAGCAAAAGCAGGGAGCACAGTGCCTGTGGAATAGCAGGCCACATAACTTTCTCAGTCTCACCTGAGAAAGTGGCCTGGGAAATCATAAGGAGGAATTAAACAATCCTCTATAAAAGAAGATCTGAACTAATAAACTTTGCTCTCCTGTTCAACGCACAAAAGAGTCTGTCATTCTCGCCATTCCCAATACAGCAACAAGTTGCCATTGATTTCGAGCTGCACATCCAGGTCAATACTTATGCAATGAAATACAGACAATTTCCCCATTTGGTCGCTGTGGAGCATCCCAGAACACAATCTTCTGCCATGCTGCAGCGACTTCCAATTAATGGAGTGAACCTTTGAACTAATTCAGGAAATCTTGCCTCCTATCACAAATCTAAATAAAGACTTCAGTCTGAACATATCTTCTCACTACATCTTCTCCTTTTTCTAATTTGCTAGTTGATCATCCAGTGATTGTATAACTGGAGAAACATTCACCCTACCTTGTCAGTCAGCAGGGAATGAGCAGTTTTTGCCATGCAAGCTCACTCTAGGCAGCACTGTTTACACCTGGGGCTTACCTGCATTCCTGGTGCTGTGGTTCTGTCACATACACAAGGTGCTCTTTGAGAATGTGGGCACACATACTCTGATTAATCCTCCTTCATTGAACAGAACAATTGTTTCTTCATGTGGAACTGACCAGCAAGCAAACTCAGCACGCAGGGGAAGCTGAGGCAGTTGCTGAGATAGGGTACCGTGAATAGTGCTGGTGTTTGTGGAATATTCCTCTAACATGACTCCTGTAATTGAAACAATAACAACTGATATCATGCACAGGTTCACAGAAGGCAGGTTGGAAGGGACCTCAGCACTTCTTTTAGTTCAACTTCCTGCCCAAAGCAGGGTCAGCTGTGAGGTGAGGGCTTGATCTAGACTGGTCTTGAGCCCTTCTGAGGAAGGAGACTGCACAACAACCTGTGCAACTTACTCTGCTGCTGAGCTGTCCTTGTGGGGATAAAACTTCTCCTTATACCCAGCTTGGACTTCTCATTTCAACTTCTGCCCATTGGTTCTCATCTTCCCACCCCTGCAAAGAGCCTGGCTCCATCTCCTCAGTGAGCTGAAAGCCACTGTAAGGCTGCTCCTCTCCTGGCTGAACAAGCACCATTTCTCCAGCCTCTACTTATGAGGCAGCACTATGGCCCAGCCTCAATCACCTTGATGGCCTCCACTAGACTCCTTCTTTGTGTACAGGAGGCCCAAACTGCACTCAGCAGTTCACCAGTGAAGGATGCAAATACTCCAATGGTGCTGCTTTTCCTTCACTCTCCTACAGGAATTCCAGTCTAGGAACGTACTATCTAGCTTGGTTTTCATTCAGTGAGCAAACACACTGCTGATTTAGACAACTGTTGACCACAGCGACAGAGACAATGGTCTTTGAAGCTACATTTGGAATGGGGGATATCACTTGGGAGTTTGAAAAGTCACCTACTGAAAATACAAAAAAGAGATGTGGAAGAATACGTGTTGACAAGATCAGGTTCTAGAAAGTGATGGGCGGCTTTATGGAGTGGGTTAAGTCACAGGGGTTAATCTATAATAAACAGTCCTAGTACACACATCAAAGGATTGTTATAGATTAATTAGCAGGTGCTATTATTAGCCATAACAATTTTTGTCTCCATTTCTGAAAGGATAAGATGCAAAACAATTACTACATTCAGTCTAAATGTTTCACACACCTCTTGCAGCAGGAGTTGTTTGGACCGCAGCCTCCAAAGCAAGAGGAGTTGATGCAGACTGTGTGTATCACGTAAGGGACAGAAAGAGCAACTTTTTTGGTCAAAAATACATTCTTGCCTCACCTTGTTTTTATGATGATTACTTTCGATTTAGTCATCTGCAACTTGGCAGAAGGGAAAGTGAAGGGGAATTTTCTGTGACTTACAAGATGTTCCATTAGGGCTGAGGAGCTCAAGAGACCTCTCTGACCAATACAAGCTAAAAACCACTATGACATTTCCTTCTTTCTTCTCATGCACCAGCTTTGAAGACTTAATTGCAATCTGAGAATTCTCCAAAAGAACATACTGCTCCTCTTTTTAGTGTTTTTGGAGATCAACAGTTTCTGTACTTCCATGAGTGTCAAAGTCCTTGTCCAATGTAACAGCTCTAATCCTGATTTTCTCCCATGTTTCTGCCTTTGAACTCCTATTTCTTTTTAATGGAAGAGTAAAGCTGCATGTGGGAAAGTCAGATGACTGGCACCCTGCAACAACTTCACATTTGTGAGAAAAATCCTCATCAAGTTAATGTCTTGATTTGGTAGAACGACCATTGCAGAAAAGGTGACTTCTCAAGTTTCTGCCCACACAGTGTCTGACACCTTTGGAAAAGGACGTAAGAAATGACAACTTGTGCATGGTTTTGGTAGGGTCTTGTCATAAGTTTCTACCCAGCTAGATGATAGTTCTTCAGGAAACACACCAGCCCATCTCTGACTAACCAGCAAATTGAGCGCACTGTGGAGAAGGAAGGACCCAGGCCAGTGGTGAGACAAACAAATGAGCACAGTATAAACCACTGCCCAACAAACCATCAGATCATTTTTAAATAGACAGCTGGATTTAACACTAATAAAGTTGAAAACAAGAAAAAAGGAAGGCAGTTCCTCAGCACCAAAGGCAGCAGCAGGACTTTTAATATTTATTTTTCCAAAAGAGCATATGAGCATGGGAAAAGAAAGCAACTAATTACTGGACAAAAATTTCAGAATTATTTCTGCCTTCCCTTCACAATGAGTGATGAATTTGGGCTCAGATTCCAAGCTGATTTATGAAGGATGTATTTGCCTTCAGCATCACACTCACCTTTTGAACTTATCCACTCAGGCTGCTGCAGACACTGTTTCGTAAAACTGGACACACAGAGCTGTTTCACTTTTAATTCTGGAAACCATGATTGAGCACAGGCCATTCCTCTTGAGTACTCCAGACAGTGAAAAATGGTTTAAGATGGTGAATGCTACTGAAGTACACAGGAGTCTTTCACTTTGATTCCAGTGGCTTTGGCTCAGAACCCAAGAACAGCATGGAAAGTAAACATTCTGATAAGCAATTTTCCAGACTGAGACAGAATTTGATAGAGCACGAAGGCAAGATTTGTGTTTCTCATTTAACAGACAGTCCCTATGAATTACAGAGGTTCTTATGAGTGTAACAGAGTTCCATGGAGCAAAGCTACATAATTTTGAGCTGTGATTTCTTTCAGATACTTATAAAATTGAAAACACTTCCTAAGTAGTAAATAAATAAGGCCCTCTCCGTATAGTGCAATAAAGTGAGAAGATTACAGGTTCAGTACTGTATCCAATCTGTTCCTTTCAAAGCCTCATTGTTAGATCAAAGGGTTTATTGCTTCTGTTCCTCTTTCAACCAGACATGGATTGCATTCAATTTACTTTTTATGCTAAATACCACTTATATTGTGTATATTCTTTGTATAATTATCTCAGCTATAAAATCTGCACCTTTTCTTATGAGGATAATGAAGTTAGAGTGCAGGGACTGGCTCTCCATCTCAAATTTCATAATAAACCCTGGATGCCTTTTCACTGCACTTAATGAATTAGAAATAACCAGACTTGGCATAGTGTCACTGTGACATCCCACAGGCTCTATTCTGTCAGCTGGGAGAAGTATTTGGAGATCTCAGTATTTTTAAACCATGTTTCTGAAATAGTTGTAAAATGATCATCATCATGTCAGTGCCCCCTAACTCAGAGCCATGCTAGTGGAGAATAAGCAATTTCCTGCTGCTTATTCCCTTGTTCCAAATCAAGACATTAACTTGTAAATCAAGACATTAACACAAATGTGTAGTCCCAACCTGTCTGAGGGACGCCGTGTGCCCTTTGATGGTTTCCCAAGTTAAGCACCTCAAAAGCAATTGAGAATTACTTTTGAAATCTTGGCCAGAAAGCTGCAATGTACTCTGAGATACTTCCAGCTAGGAAAAGGACAGACTCAACAGAGCTCTTGGGGGAGAGAAAGCTCCAAGACCCAACAGGTATGTGCATTCTGTACTGTAAACTGTGGTTAAACATACCATTTCTGTGACCTCTAGAAATGGGAGGGAAAAACAGAAAATAAAAGAGAAAGCAGCCCTTGCAGTTGCACAATTGTGGAAACAAAAATACTCTATGCATGAAAAGTCAGTTCTCAGATTTACTGAGTATCAGGAAGGTGGCTCCAAAATATACAAACTTTATCTGTGCCCACCATAATGATATAATTTTTTCCAGACTAACTTCTATTTGACATTTGTTTTCAGTTTTCCTTGTTCCTTGTTTCATGCTAGCTGAGACACAGCCCACTTTCTGTAGATGAAATGACTTCTAAGAAATTGAAGCAAGGCTGAGA